CCTCACGCCGGGCTCGTAGGGTGGCTGGAGGCACAGAGGGGTCCCCGGTGGGTGCCGTCGGCAGCAGACGCAGTGCAAGAAGTCGGCGACGTTGTGCCGGAAGAGCTGGCGGCAGGGGTGCAGGTACTGGAAGAAGAGGAGCATGAAGTAGATGCCCAGGCAGTAGCCGAGGAGCAGCTGCACCACCAGCAGTGGGGTGCAGATGTTCTCGTAGACGTCCGTCTTGAAGAAGTACCAGAGGATGACGAGGGCTGTGTTCTCCGCCAGCCGGGCCACGTAGTAGATGGCCAGGCGGCCCCAGTTCTGCGACTTGTCGATGAGGTCCCGGTCGGCCAGCTTGAGCTGCACGGCTGACCAGCAGAACATGTTGATGCCGGCGTAGAGGAGGGTGAAGGCGCAGAGCACCACCACCGTGCCCACCCGGCTGAAGTTCTTCTCGATGTTGTCAGGCAGGTGGGTACCGCTCCGCCAGAACTGCACCCAGGGCAAGAAGAAGACCACCAGCAGGTTGGCCAGGGCGATGGGGATGATCCAGTGCTTGAAGACGGTGCTGAAGAGCACGAGGACGGCCACGCGGGTGGAGATCTCCAGGCTGCGCCACAGCACGATGCAGAGGAAGGCCAGCGGCCGCAGCTGGACTTTGTAGTCATCGTACTTGACCTGGATGGCCAGGATGTTGCAGACGAGTGCTCCGTAGGTCACCGACACCAGGCAGATGCCCATGAGGACGGCTGCAGAGGGAGAGGTCAGGGGAGTCAGGCAGCATTGGGGACTGGGCTGTGTGCCCGGCCTCGCTGCCTCACGGGGTGCCCAGCGTGGCATCCCAATCCCGGGTGTGAAGCACAGGGTGCCAAGCCCCGGGGCTTGCAGCAGGAGGCTCGGTGTGAGCACTGCTGGGACAGCTCGTGGCAGAAGCCTTTCACAGAATCACAGATTTCAGAGTTGGAAGGGACCTCTAGAGACCACCCAGCCCCACTCCCCTGCTAAAGCAGGACTGCCCAGAGCACATCGCTCAGGACTGCATCCAGGTGGGTTTGGAAAATCTCCAGCGAAGGGGACTCCCCCCCCTCCCTGGGCAGCCTGTGCCACTGCTCGGGCACCCCAACCCTAAAGAAGTTTTTCCGTGTATTTGAACAGAACTTCCTGTGTTCCAAGTTGTGCCTGTTGCCCCTCGTCCTGTCACATGTTAATTTCAATCCTAAATTGATTTAGATATGTGGTAGTTGGCTCAGAAACTAACAATTAATTTTCATTTTAACACTGGAAAATAATTTTGAACTATTTCTTGAATGTAGTGGAATGCTTTATTTCTTTAATCTTTAATTCTTTAATCCCCCTCACACCCCAGTTGGGATGCAGAGAAAACAGAATTTCATTTTAGAATATTTATAGGAAAAAAATCTTTCATATACTAAGCTTTGTAATACCCGAATAAGGAAAACTGAAATGCTCTCACAGACCTCAGTGTAACGTTTCGTGTAGCTAGGAGCCGAAGCAAAACCCAGTTCAAGTTTCCACGTGTCTAATTGCTGGCTCATGGACAATTTACTATCTACCAGGACCCCCAAATCCTTCTCCTCAGAGCTACTTCCCAGCAGGTCCACCCCTAACCTATACTGGTGCCTTTGCCAAACTGGCTCCATTCCTGTGCCTGAACCAGCCACCAACCCCCCTGCCCTATGGAAGAAATACTGCTCAAGGGCGAGTGGGGCACGGTCTGTGCTGCGAGCATCCCTCTGCCCTCACCTGGACCAAGAGCGGCACCACCGTAGCCCACCAGTCACCCTGGGAGCATCTCAAGAGCCACCCTCCTCCAGGGGCTCCAAAGCCAAGGTCGTTCACAGGGAACGCCGGCAGCCGCTCGCATTCAGCACAGCCAGGAAAACCGCCACGCAGAAAAAGGGAAGGGTGCAGCTGGTCCCAGTGGTGCCATGCTGGCGGCGGTGGCTGTGAGCTGCGGGGCTGAACTGAGACACCTGAGCCGCGAGGGAATGGCCCAAAATGTGTCAACCGGGCTTTGCTTCCCGCATCTGCCGCCGGAGGAGCGCTGGGGCTCATCCTCCTGCCGCCACGGCTCCTACTCCCCAAAACGCCCTCGCAGGGGGCCATGGCCAAGGAGGGGGTTTCTGTGGGGCATCTCCCGTGTCCCCCTTTCCGTGTGCCCGCTGTGGGCGCAAAGGGCAAGGTTTGGGCACCCGGCACGGCCGGGAGAGCGGGTCGGCGAGGGCAGCTGCTTCACCTATCACAATGGTGCAAGAGCACTCCCGCGCACCCGGCTGGTCGGCATGCCCAAGCGGGATTTAAAAGCTCGCTCCGGCACATCCAGCCCCTGAGTGCACAAACACCCCGGGAGCAGGCGAGGGAGCCTGGGAGCACTGGGCTGGGAGCTCCGGCTGTTGGGAAAAGCTCAGAAATAGATCCAACGGAGAGACCGTGGGGAAGCCAGAGCCCGTGGCTAGCTGGAAAAACCCAGTGACTAATGCAGACTGGAGCAGCCTGGGGCAGGGCCATGACATCTTTACGGGACGGGGCCCCGGGGGGACGGCACGGCTCCGTAGGGCAGACGTCCGCAAGCACCGGGGCTGGGAGCGGAGCCTGGCGCATCCGTCACTGCCAGCTTCTCCCAGGCTCACTCCAAG